ATATTAAGCATGTAACGGACTTGTCAAAACAACCTTGCAACAAGTCCGATGATAATTTCGACAAGGTTGTTACAAGTTGTCAACAAGTTGTTCCAAACCTGTTGGCAACTTGTGACAAGCAGTCGGCGAATACATCTTGTTGACTGCTTGTTGGCAGACTTGTTACAATATGCGAGATTTTTACGTGTGTAGACGCGTAAAAATCTCACAACTTGTCAAGAAGATGTGTTCGCATGCTTGTTCCCAGTTGTTGACAAGTCTGGAACAAGTTGTTATCATCTTGTAACAAGGTTGATGAGGCCAACAGACTCGCAACAAGTTGTTCCAACAAGTCTGATATCGTCTGCACGTAACAAGTTGTTAACAAGTTGACGACAACAAGCTCGTAGCAACTTGTTACGAACAGCCTGTATTAGTCTTGTTGCAACAACTTGCAGCAAGTCTGTTACCGTCATCAACCTTGTAACAAGATGATAACAACTTGTTCTATACATGTAAAAATCTCACTATTTGTCAACGAGATGTGTTCGCAACAGGCTTGTAGCAAGCTTGTCAACAAGTTGTAACAATGCTGTTGTTTTATCAAGTTGCTACAAGGTTGTCATTCACAACTTGTTGACAAATTGTTGAATTGCAGGACGATAGAAAGTTGTTGAAACAACTTGTAACACTTAATCTAAGTCAGGAAACAGCCTTAAATTTTACACTTTTATAATTATAAAGAACTACCGTTATCAAAAACTTCAACAAAGCAGGACGAAAGTGCAACAAGAACAGCTAATAATATCATATTAATGTAAGAAAATGAACAGAAATTAATAATTGAAATCTCGCGGACGTTTTAAACGTCGCCGAAAGGGAAACACAAAGAAAAATCATGAACGTATCTTCAACGTATTTTTTGAAAATTACTTCGCCAATGAACTTACTAGATCGATCATTTTTGAAGCAAATTAAAACATTCGCAGTGCGTGTTTTATCAGATAATAATATATATATCTGATAAAATACTGCTGCTCATGTTTTAGGTAGTATGTTGAGCCTTGTATCAACCTTGTATCAACCTTGTAGCAAGGTGATACAACTTGTTCCAGACTTGTCACAACAACTGGGAACAAGCAATATGAACAACAAGTCTGATACAGTCAAAAACTCATGATATAACAATATTGTTACAACCTTGTCTGGTCAACCTTGTAACATTCTTGTTATATCATGACTGTATCAGACTTGTTAGAACAACCTTGTAACAAGTCTGATAATGCCATCAAGGTCGTTACAAGTTGTTAACAGCTTGTTCCAAACTTGTTACAACAACTGGGAACAAGCAGTGCGAACACAACTTGTCGACAGCTTGTGAACAGATTTGTAACAACTTGCTTACAGACCTGGAACAACTTGTGCGTTTTTACATGACATGTGTACATGCAGTATCTATGGGTTTGATCTGCTTTTGACAAGTAAAATTGTCTGCAGTATTGTAAATGGGAAATGCTTGCTATATATTTCTTACCTTTGGTTGGGAGGCAGTTCCAAACACGGTGACATTTGGCACTGTCTTACACAACTGTGTGGCGGCAACGCCCTGAGAAAGTGCAAATTATTTTACTTAAAAATAACCTTTGAAAATAAAATTCATAGAAACTGTCGTAAGATTTAAAGACTTTGTCATGAGACCATGAGAAAGCATAAAAAATCGTGAGTCTCACGACAAAACCGTGAGAGTTGGCAGGTCTGT